TTTTGAGAACCTATCTACCACAACAAAGATGCTATCCTTACCATACCGTGTTCTAGGAAGTCCTAACACAAAGTCCATAGAAATATCAATCCAAGGTGAAATAGGCACAGGTAATGGCGTGTATAAACCATGTGGCAACACTTTAGATTTAGCTTGTTTTCATTCAAGGCATTGAGCACAAAATCTTTCTACATCTTTTCTCATATTAGGCCAAAAGAAATTTTCAGCAAGGATGTCAAGTGTTTTAGGCACACCAAAGTGTCCCATAAGCCCCCCACAATGTGCTTCCCTCACAAAAGCTTCTCGCAAAGAACAATTAGGGACACAAAGCTTATTCTCTTTAAAAAGAAACCCATCTTTCATATTATACTTCTCAAAAGGCCCCTTTAAACATGCCGAAAATATGACATCAAAATCAGAATCATCAACGTATAAATCCTTAATATGATCAAATCCCATCAATTTAGAAGTAAGAGTAGAAACAAGAGCGTACCTTCTTGAAAGCGCATCAGCAACTATATTGTCTTTACCTTGCTTGTAGCTAATCACATAAGGAAATGTCTCAATGAATTCAACCCATTTGGCATGTCTTCTACTCAATTTACCTTGGCTTTTCAAGTATCTTAAGGACTCATGGTCAGTTTTGATCACAAACTCCTTTGGCCACATATAATGCTGCCGTGTAACAAGAGCCCTTACCAAGGCATACAATTCTTTATCATAAGTAGAATAATTCAATGCAGCCCCATTCAACTTCTCACTAAAATAAGCGATTGGTTTAGAATCTTGCATTAAAACAGCCCCAATACCTCAACCAGATGCATCACATTCAATTTCAAAGGACTTACTAAAATCAGGTAATTGTAACAAAGGAGCAGACACAATTTATCCTTCAAAATATTAAATGTATGCTCTTGTTCTTTCCCCCAATTAAAGACCTTATCCTTCTTAATGACTTCAGTTAAAGGAGCAGCAATTGAACTAAAATCTCTAACAAATCTCCTATAAAAGCTAGCAAGTCCACGAAAACTTCTAACTTCAGTAATGCTCTTAGGTGTAGGCCAATCTTTAATCGCTTTGATTTTATCTTCATCTACCTCAAAACTTCTAGAACTCACAACAAAACCCAAGAAAACTACCTTATCTACACAAAAAGTGCACTTGGATAGATTTGCATACAATTGTTGCTCCCTAAGGGCATTACAAACTTGTTTCAAATGTTCGACATGCTCTTCTAAAGATTTAGAAAAGATCAGAATATCATCAAAATACACGACTACAAATTTTCCATGAAAATCCTTATTGATATGGTTCATTAACCTCATGAATGTACTAGGTGCATTAGTTAAGCCGAACGACATTCCTAACCATTCATACAATCCATATTTAGTTTTAAAGGCAATTTTCCATTCATCTCCAGGATTTATTCTAATTTGGTGATATCCACTCTTCAAATCAATTTTAGAGAATATTTGAGAACCATGAAATTGGTCAAGAATATCATCTAAACGAGGAATAGGATGGCGATACTTTACCGTTATTTTATTGATGGCGCGGCAGTCCACGCACATCCTCCAAGTGCCATCCTTCTTTGGCACCAAAAGCACGGGCACAAAACAGGGACTCATACTTTCTCTTACAAATCCCTTATCAAGCAGCTCCTCTATTTTCTTTGCAATTCTTTTGTTTCTTCGGGATTGCTCCTATAAGCAGGCCTATTAGGAATTTGTGATCCCGGCACAAAATCAATTTGATGCTATATTCCTCTTAAAGGTGGTAAACCTTTAGGAAGATCCTCAGGAAAAACATCTTCAAAATCCTGCAAAAGGTTAGAAATAACACTAGGCAAAGAGGATGTTAGTGAATCATTATTAAGCAGAACTTCCTTATAAGTGAGCAAGATAATAGGCAGCCCCTCTTTTTTTGCAATTAAACACTCTTTGGCTTTTGCAAGGCTCACTTTTTTTTCAATCTTAGCCTCTTTCCTCTCACCAATGCTTTTTTTGTTCATTCTTCCCCACCTTTTCCTTTCTTTCATTGCCCTGCTCTCTCTTCTCACACCTCATTTTATTTTTTCCCTCTTTTTCTATCTCTTTAGTCTCTCGTTTTGATCCCTCTCCATGTTTCCCCATTGATTCTTTCATCTTTTTTTGATCTTCATACACTTGGGAAGGAGGTAAAGGTGCAAGAATGTACTTCTTGCCATTATGCTCAAGAGAGTATCTATTTTTCCTCCCATCGTTAAAAGCACTCCTATCATACTGCCATGGGCGCCCCAACAAGATATGACAAGCTTGCATGGGTACTATATCACATAGAACTTCGTCAGCGTACCTTCCAATCTTAAAGGAGACCATGCATTGCTTATTCACCTTGACCTCTCCACTATCATTGAACCATTGCAACCTATAAGGTCTAGGGTGCTTCGTCCATTCCAACCCTAACTTTTCCACCAAATATGCACTCACAACATTAGCACAACTCCCATTATCAATTATCATAGAACAAATTTTATCTTTAATCCCACATCGAGTATGGAATATGTTTTTCCTTTGTTCTTCATTAGAGTCACCCAAATTAATGTGCATAAGCCTCCTAACCACAAAATTCACCCCACTATCAATGTACTCCATCTCTTCTCCTTCTTCACTCTCTACAAAGTTTGCTTCTTGTTCTTCACTTGGTTCACTTTTTCACTCTCATATCCCTCATCCTCTTTGATTAGAATGTTTCTTCTAGTTGGGTATTCAAAAGCCTTATGCCCTCTCCCTTGACACTTGAGACATTGAATCGAAGAAGTAGAAGTTTTAGGCATAAAAGGCTTACCCCCATCCTTGGATTCCAATTTGCTCTTTCCCTTATCTTCACGGAATTTAAGAGTGCGTGTCTCCTCAGATTTCGGCCATTGCTTCTTTGGAATAGTAGTTGGCCGGCTTTTCCATGAGCTAGATTGATGTCTCCTTTTGTTTTGTCTTTCTACCTTTACAGCTAATTCAACTAACTCATCTAAAGTTACATATTGTTGTAATTCGACTACATCAGCTATTTCCTTATTTAAACCATTCAAAAACCTAGCGATTGTAGCCTCCTCTTCCTCCATACAATTAGCTTGGATCATAGCCATATCCATAGCCTTAAAGTACTCATCTACGGACATAGACCCTTGCCTCAAAGTTTGAAGACGTTGTTGTAGATCTCTTTGAAAGTGTGATGGCACAAATCTCTTCCTCATTACCCTCTTCATCTCAGCCCACGTAGCAACGAGTGCTTGTCCTTCTTGCAATCTGTCCCTAGAAAGCTTTTTTCACCAGATTGCTGCATAGTTAGAAAACTCAACAGCAGCAAGTTTAACCTTTTTACCCTCCGAATAGTTGTGGCAATCAAAGATGGCTTCCACTTTTCTCTCCCAATCAATGTACAAGTCTGGATCCCTTGTTCCCTTGAAAGATGGCATCTTCATCTTTATACTACTTATATTATCATCTTCTAGTCTTCCTCTTTGTCCCCTCCTATCTCTTCCTACCCTATCAAAATCAATATCATCATTAAAATCATCGATAGGGTTTTCCTGATTTACAATGGGAGCGGGTACATTTCTCCTAGCTTGGAGTCTAGCGTTATTTCCCCTCCTAAGTTCAGCTATTGTAATATTTTGCTCAGCAATGGTGTCCCTCATCTCTTGGAATTGCAAATTCCACCTTTCAAATTGTTGGTGCATAGCTTGCAAGGTGAAATCATTCCTTCCTTTAATTTCGGCTTCTTGAAGAACCCTTTGTTCATCATCACTACCTGTACGAGACATTATGAACAAAGTAATATATATCTCTCAATTTGGCTTTTCCCTATGATGTTCTCACCTCTCTTGCCTTTTTTTCCACTCAATGCAACTCTTGATCGTTAATCTCTAGATTTATTAATAAACCTTACTAGTCACAACCCTTAGTGATAAGAATATGGAGTTAGAAAAAGAAAGAAAAGTGAATGACCAAACCTAGGAAGAATAGGAATTGGTTAGTAGAAAAAAAAGGAAAGAATTTTAGGAAACCCAAAACCCACAAGAATAAGGAAAGAAGTTTTCTTAATCTTCAAGAACAAGGACCCCCTCTTCTTGTTTCCTTTCTTGACTTGGAAACCTAATAATACTTGAATTCAAAAAATAATAATGAGCAATATACTTTTTTTTGGGCTAATTTTCGTTTTTTTGTTGCTCAAGAACCTCCCAAGATTATCAAGATTGAAATCTTGATTAGCCTATGCTCTGATACCACTTGATAACAACACGATAGGGAATTCAAGAATTACTAAGAAAAATAAGAAAATCAAGAAACGTGGGGAAGCTAAAAAAAATAAGGAAACAAAAAAGGACGGAAAACTAAAGATAGATTGAATTCAAGAAAGAGTTTCTTGAATTCAAGAAGTCTATTCTTGAAGTTGAATCCTAACAACAACAATTAGCTAACAAAGAACTAATCGCCTTTGGTAGAGAATTAAAAACAAGAGATAGATTGTGAAACTCGACCCTTTAGAATAACAAGAACAACAATAAGCCTAAACTTATCACCTTTCTTGAATACCTAGAAGTGATCTAAGATTTCGAAAGAGTTTAATCTTACCACCTTAAGTTGAGTCTTGAAGGTTGAAGAATAAATCTAAGAGTAGCCACACACAAGAGTGCAAGAAAAATCTCACAATTTTTATTGATAATAGTCTAAGTCTAAAAGCAAAGAAGATACCCCTTTATATAGGGAAGGGGTCACGAAATTCTACCTAAAAAAACTAAGAAAATAAAGTCCTAAACTACTTTGGACAACATGTCCAACTACCATAGGAAAAGGTAAAACTCTAGGAAACAAAAACCAAGTCAATCTTGGAAAGTAATTCCAATAATCTTAGGAAAAACAAAACCTTAACTACCTAGGAAAGCATCAAATATAGTCCTCACAAACTAGGAAACAAAATAAGGAAACTTGGGGGCCAAGTTGGCTCCTTTGTGAGTTGATTTAGGCGCCTAATTTAGGCCCTCCTTGGCTGGTTCTTGGACCCCAATCAACCTCCTCTTGGACTTGGACTTGGACCATGAAATGAGTGTAGCACTTAGCTAAATCCTCTCCATAATTTTTGAGCTCTTCTTCCACCATTAGCGCCTTCTTGATCTCCCATTGAAGCCCAACAACCTTGTCTTGCTTTTCCTTAGCTTGAGACGTTGTGAATGGCTTTCTTGGTGCTTCTACAGCTTTATCCTTGTCCATGAAGCTATGATTCCCCTCCTCTCGAAAAGAATTCGTCCTCGAATTTGAACCTACATCAAACAAGGATAAGTCAGCAACATTGAAAGTAGCACTTACTTGAAACTCACCTGGAAGGTCCAATTTGTAAGCATTATCTCCAATTCTTTCAAGTACTTTAAATGGTCCATCTCCTCTAGGGTGCAATTTGGTCTTCCTTTTTGAAGGAAATCTCTCCTTCCTCATATGAACCCAAACCAAATCACCAGGCTCGAAGATAATTGGTTTTCGACCTTTATTTCTTCGTAAAGTTATTTGCTCATTCCTCTTCTCAATTGCAAGTCTCGTACGNATCAATGAAATCTAGAAGTAATTCAGATAGACTTTCTTTAGACAAAAACTTAATCTTGTCTTTGAGATGAATTATACTTACCTCAGATTCCTCATCGAATTTTCCAATTGCCATAAGTGCTTGTTCATCTCCATCTTCGTCTTCTGAGTCATCATCTGAGCTTTCACCCCAAGCAGCAACCATAGCCTTTGTTGATCCTTTGTTCTTCTTGGGATGAACCTGTTCCTTCTTCCTGTTCCTTCGTTCAGCTCTTTCCTTCTTCCATTCAATTTCCCATTGAGGGCAATTTTTGATGTGGTGATCAGTCTTCCCACACTTGTAGCACCCCTCATTGGTTTATTTTTCAGGAACCCTTGGTTTGTTGTAGCTTCCATTTCTTGAAGGACCATTTTCTCTTATTAGGTACTTCTTAAAATCCTTTGTGATCATGGTCATTTCATCCTCATCTAGATCAGCACCTTCAGTGATTCTGAATGCCAGGCTCCTTTCCTTCTTAGGTGCATCCATCTTCATGGTTTGCCTTCTACGTTCATAGGCAGTGAGATTTCCAATTAGCTCATCCAACTTGAGAGTGGCAATGTTCTTTGATTCCTGAATAGCTGTGATTTTGCTTTCCCAAGAGATTGGCAGTACCCTTGTCAAAATCTTCTCAACTTTGTCTTCTTCAAGAATAACCCTTCCAAGAGATTTAAGTTTATTTGTTAGTGTTGTGAACCTTGTGTACATCTCCTGGATGGTTTCTCCTTCCATCATGGTGAAATTCTCATATTGAGAATACAGCAGTGTTCCTCTGGACCTCTTCACTTGAGGAGTTCCTTCATGAGCCACTTGCAGAGTGTCCCATATCTCCTTAGCAGTGGTACAGCTTTGAATTCTACTGTACTCGTCTGGACCAAGTCCACACACAAGCCATTTCTTGGCCTTAGCATTTTTCTCCCATTTCTTCAAATCTTCAGCAGTGCAGTCAGCTCTTGTCTTTGGCACATCCACTCCTTCAGCATTCTTCTTTGTAGTTGCTAGGGACCATCAGTGACTATGTCCCAGAGTTCATAGTCTTCTCCTATGATGTGATCCCTCATCCTGTTCTTCCACCAAGAGTAGTAGTGGCCATTAAAGAGTGGAGGCCTATCAGTGGATTGCCCTTCCCAGTTTCCAGGTGGTGCACTCATCTTGATCTGTTCCTAAGGTGTTAGCCTCTTCAAGGATAACCTGCTCTGATACCAATTGATGTTCTAAACGTCAATACCACAAAAGGGGGGGGGGTGATTTGTGTGGTACTCAATTTTTCGCTTAAACTGCTTCTGGAAGGACCTGGTTCTTCTAGGTGTACTTATTACTACTGTTTGCGGAATTAAAAGTACATAAAATAAAGAACACAGAGATTTTACGTGGAAAACACCTGGCTCAAAAGGTGAAAAAACCACGACCTACTACTCAGTAGGATTTTCCCAAACTTCCACTAAAATCACTGAGCCAAAACTGCATTTACAAAACTCTTTGTAAACCTAAGGATTAACTCTAATCCCTTTGTAGCAACCAGCCTCTAACTGCTGCGACAACTTCAAGTTAACTCTAACTTGAATACTCAAAATACCTATTACAATTTGCTTCTAGATAAAGCTGAAAGGTACAATATGAAACACCTACTACAATTGAACTAGAAATAAAGAAAGACACATAAAACTCTTTATGGAGCTGGTTCTTCAATCTGGTTCATGTAGCTTCTGGTTTGCACACTTGAATCACACACGAACTGCTTGCAAAAAGCCTTGCTATTTTGCTCCCAATTCACGTTTAACTTCTGCGTTTTTGTGCCACACTTTAATGTGAGAACATCCTGCAATTTATAGAGTTAGTAGATGAAGAAATAACTAGAGTTCTGATGCAACTCATCCTTGGTGGAAGAGTTCTAGTTGATTTCAACTTCTAACTCCTTCCCTATCTTGGATAGTGTTCTCTTTGATTAAGGACTCCTTCTCTTTATCAATTATGCAACCTTTTCGATCAGGAGATATTAAATACACCAAGTTAAGCTTATCTCCTTCACGTGCAACCCACATGCTTGAATCTGCTCGTTTTTGTGAACCTGAGGGATGGACCACTGGATGGACCTGGTTCATGTCTGAGTTCCTTTGTCAGTCTTCAAAACTAACCTTTACTTGGGCCAACAGTATTCAAGGCATTGAGCACAAAATCTTTCTACATCTTTTCTCATATTATGCCAAAAGAAATTTTTAGCAAGGATGTCAAGTGTTTTTGGCACACCAAAGTTTCCATAGGGGCCCCACAATGCGCTTCCCTCACAAAAACTTCTCGCAAAGAACATTTAGGGACACAAAACTTATTCTCTTTAAAAAGAAACCCATCTTTCATATTATACTTCTGAAAAGGACCATTTAAACATGCCGAAAATGCTACATCAAAATCAGAATCATCAACATATAAATCCTTAATATGATCAAATCCCATCAATTTAGAAGTAAGAGTAAAAACAAGAGCGTACCTTCTTGAAAGCGCATCGGCAACTATATGGTCTTTACCTTGCTTGTAGCTAATCACATAAGGAAATGTCTCAATGAATTCAACCTATTTGGCATGTCTTCTACTCAATTTACCTTGGCTTTTCAAGTATCTTAATGACTCATGGTCAGTTTTTATCACAAACTCCTTTGGCCACAAATAATGCTGTCATGTAGCAAGAGCCCTTACCAAGACATACAATTCTTTATCATAAGTAGAATAATTCAATGCAACCCCATTCAACTTCTCATTAAAATAAGCGATTGGTTTAGAATCTTGCGTTAAAACGGCCCCAATACCTCTACCAGATGCATCACATTCAATTTCAAAGGACTTATTAAAATCAGGTAATTGTAACAAAGGATCATAACACAATTTATCCTTCAAAATATTAAATTCATGATCTTGTTCTTTTCTCCAATTAAAACCTTATCCTTATTAATGACTTCAGTTAAAGGAGCAGCAATGGAACTAAAATCTCTAACAAATCTCCTATAAAAGCTAGCAAGTCCATAAAAACTTCTAACTTCAGTAATGCTCTTAGGTGTAGACCAATCTTTAATCGCTTTGACTTTATCTTCATCTACCTCAACACCTCTAGAACTCACAACAAAACCCAAGAAAACTACCTTATCTACACAAAAAGTGCACTTGGATAGATTTTCATACAATTGTTGCTCCTTAAGCACATTACAAACTTGTTTCAAATGTTCGAGATACTCTTCTAAAGATTTAGAAAATATCAGAATATCATCAAAATAAACGACTACAAATTTTCCATGAAAATCCTTAAAGATATGGTTCATTAATCTCATGAATGTACTAGGTGCATTAGTTAACCCGAATGGCATCACTAACCATTCATACAATCCATATTTAGTTTTAAAGGCAGTTTTCCACTCATCTCCAGGTTTCATTCTAATTTGGTGATATCCACTCATCAAATCAATTTTAGAGAATATTTGAGAACCATGCAATTGGTCAAGCATATCATCTAAACGAGGAATAGGATGGCGATACTTTACCGTTATTTTATTGATGGCACGGCAGTCCACGCACATCCTCCAAGTGCCATCCTTCTTTGGCACCAAAAGCACGGGTACAGAACGGGGACTCGTGCTTTCTCTTACAAATCCCTTATCAAGCAGCTCCTCTACTTGTCTTTGCAATTCTTTTGTTTCTTCGGGATTTCTCCTATAAGCAGGCCTATTAGGAATTTATGATCCCGGCACAAAATCAATTTGATGCTCTATTCCTCTTAAAGGTGGTAAACCTTTAGGAAGATCCTCAGGAAAAACATCTTCAAAATCCCGCAAAAGGTTAGAAATAACACTAGGCAAAGAGGATGTTAGTGAATCAATATTAAGCAGAACTTCCTTATAAGTGAGCAAGATAATAGGCAGCCCCTCTTTTTTTGCAATTAAACACTCTTTGGCTTTTGCAAGGCTCACTTTTTTTTCAATCTTAGCCTTTTTCCTCTCACCAATGCTTTCTTTTTTTCACTCTTCCCCACCTTTTCCTTTCTCTCATTGCTTCCCTCTCTCTCCTCACGCCTCATTTCATATTTTCCCTCTTTTTCTTTTCCTCTAGTCTCTCGTTTTGATCCCTCCCCATGTTTCCCCATTGATTCTTTCATCTTTTTTTTATCTTCATACACTTGGGAAGGAGTTAAAGGTGCAAGAATGTACTTCTTGCCATTATGCTCAAGAGAGTATCTATTTTTTCTCCCATCGTGAAAAGCACTCCTATCATACTGCCACGGGCTCCCCAACAAGATATGACAAGCTTGCATGGGTACTATATCACATAGAACTTCGTCAGCGTACCTTCCAGTCTTAAAGGAGACCAAGCATTGCTTGTTCACCTTGACCTCTCCACTATCATTGAACCATTGCAACCTATAAGGTCTAGGGTGCTTCATCCATTCCAACCCTATCTTTTCCATCAAATATGCACTCACAACATTAGCACAACTCCCATTATCAACTATCATAGAACAAATTTTATCCTTAATCTCACACCGAGTATGGAATATGTTTTCCCTTTGTTCTTCATTAGAGTCACCCAAATTAATGTGCATAAACCTCCTAACCACAAAATTCACCTCACTATTAATGTACTCCATCTCTTCTCCTTCTTCACTCTCTACAAAGTCTTCTTCTTGTTCTTCACTTGGTTTACTTTTTTCAGTCTCATATCCCCCATCCTCTTTGATTAGAATGTTTCTTCTACTCGGGCATTCATAAGCCTTATGCCCTCTCCTTGACACTTGAGACATTGAATAGAAGAAGTAGAAGTAGAAGGTTTAGGCATAAAAGGCTTACCCCCATCCTTGGATTCCAATTTGCTCCTGCCCTTGTCTTCACGGAATTTAAGAGTAGGTGTCTCCTCAAATTACGGCCATTGCTTCTTTGGAATAGTAGTTGGCCGGCTTTTCCATGAGCTAGATTGTTGTCTCCTTTTGTTTTGTCTTTCTACCTTTACAGCTAATTCAACTAACTTATCTAAAGTTACATATTGTTGTAATACGAGTACATCAGCTATTTCCTTATTTAAACCATTCAAAAACCTAGCAATTGTAGCCTCCTCTTCCTCCATAGAATTAGCTCATAGCCATATCCATAGAATTAAAGTACTCATCTACAGACATGGACCCTTGCCTCAAAGTTTGAAGACGTTGTTGTAGATCTCTTTGAAAGTGTGATGGCACAAATCTCTTCCTCATTACCCTCTTCATCTCAGCCCACGTAGCAACGAGTGCTTATCCTTCTTGCAATCTGTCCTTAGAAAGCTTTTTCCACCAGATTGCTGCATAGTCAGAAAACTCAACAGCAACAAGTTTAACCTTCTTACCCTCCGAATAGTTGTGGCAGTCAAAGATGGATTCCACTTTTCTCTCCCAATCAAGGTACAAGTCTGGATCCCTTGTTCCCTTGAAAGATGACATCTTCATCTTTATACTACTTATATTATCATCTTCTAGTCTTCCTCTTTGTCCCCTCCTATCTCTTCCTACCCTATCAAAATCAATATCATTATTAAAATCATCGATAGGGTTTTCCTGATTTACAATGGGAGCGGGTACATTTCTCCTAGCTTGGGGTCTAGCGTTATTTCCCCCCCTAAGTTCAGCTATTATAATATTTTGCTCAGCAATGGTGTCCCTCATCTCTTGGAATTGCAAATTCCACCTTTCAAATTGTTGGTGCATAGCTTGCAAGGTGAAATCTTCCTTCCTTTAATTTCGGCCTTTTGAAGAACCTTTTGTTCATCATCACTACATGTACGAGACATTATGAACAAAGCAATATAAATCTCTCAATTTGGCTTTACCCTCTGATGTTCTCACCTCTCTTGCCTTTTTCCACTTAATGCAACTCTTGATCGATAATCTCTAGATTTATTAATAAACCTTACTAGTCACAACCATTAGTGATAAGAATATGGAGTTAGAAAAAGAAAAATAAATAAATGACCAAACCTAGGAAGAATAGGAATTGGTTAGTAGAAAAAAAAGGAAAGAATTTTAGGAAACCCAAAACCCACAAGAATAAGGAAACAAGTTTCCTTAATCTTCAAGAACAATGATCCCCTCTTCTTGTTTCCTTTCTTGACTTGGAAACCTAATAATACTTGAATTCTAAAAATAATAAGGAGCAATAACACTTTTTTTGTTTCTGGGGCTGATTTTCGTTTTTTTTTTTGTTTTTTTTGTTGCTCAAGAACCTCCCAAGATTATCAAGATTGAGATCTTAATTAGCCTATGCTCTGATACCACTTGATAACAACACAATAGGGGGTTCAAGAATTACTAAAGAAAAACAAGAAAATCAAGAAATGTGCGGAAGCTAAAAGAAAATAAAGAAACAAAAAACAAGACGGAAAATTAAAGATAGATTGAATTCAAGAAAGAGTTTCTTGAATTCAAGAAGTCTATTCTTGAAGTTGAATCCTAACAACAACAATTATGTCATGACCCAAAATCCACTAAGGGTTGTGGTGGCGCCACACCACTGTCAGGCAAGCCAACCAAGATGCATAATCAAATTCCAGTTTTAGTATTTGCGGAAATCATTCTTCTTATACATTGAATATTAAACAATAGAGATTTTACAAAAAAAATGAAAAGTCAATAAAGGACTTAATACTGAATAATCCAAAATCCTCGCAAAACCCGGTGTCACAAGTGCATGAGCATCTACCGATAGGGAAATAAAATACAACATCTGTCTGAAATACAGTGGACAGGAAATAAATACAATATACCGAAAGGGACTACACTAGCTACGGGTCGCCTCGAATAATGCAACTCTTCTAGTCCCAGAATCATCCGCGCTGCTACGCCCAGTAGGCTGCTAGAGGTACATATACCTGTGCAACAAAAATGCACAAAAGTGTAATATGAGTACGTAAACAACGTGTACTCAATGAGTATCCCGCCTAATCTCGAAGAAGTAGAGACGAGATGGTCAACTTCGACACTTACTAGGGGTCAATTGATAATATACTAACCATGTGAGAAAATCATGGATTTATATAGCAATTCTAATTCACGAAGCCGGAAAACAGGTAAACACCTTCAACAAATAATCAAGGATTTTCAAGGTTTACTCTTTATTATCTTATCAATTTATATCAAGCCACGAAAAGGCATTTTCACGTTTAAAATTCTCAAGCAACAAATAACATGCGCAAATCACACCAAGGCGACGACCCGATCCAACAGAAATGTAAACTGTGCACTGCCGAGGGTCGAACGGCCTGAACCATAGATGCATCTATTTAATCTGCCGAGGCGTTCGGCCCGTTCCATAAATAAACACATACCCTGCTCGCGAATCATGCATGTGACGCAGGTACACATAAGGATACATGCTCAATCAGTCAATTAAGAACTTATCGGGGAATATTTATCCAATTAAAACCAATTCTCCTTTAACAAATTTTAAGAAATGAAGTTTAATCCTTTTAGAAATTCACTTACTAATTCAATGTGATTTAAGCAATTCAAGCTATCAATGGGTTCATAAATAATCCAAGTATAACATGCTTTTGGGTCCTAACTACCCGGATAATAGCATAGTAGTAGCTATGCACGGACTCTCGTCACCTCGTGCGTACGTAGCCCCCGCAAATAGGAGCACATAATCAATTATTTCACCTATGGGGACAATTCCCTCTTACAAGGTTAGAAAGGAGACTCACCTCGCTCCGAAGATCCAAAACCGGCATTCCACGCCCTTTCGAAGACTCGAATTGATGCACAATGCTCCAAAACTAGCCAACAATTATGTAAACCCATTAATATATGCTCAAACACTCATAACAATTCAATTTATATCAATTCCCAACTCCGCTCGAAAAGTCGATAAAAATGCCCCTCGGACCCACGTGCCTGGATTCTGAAAATTATTGAAAATAAATATTACCCATAACTCATATAGTCTATATCCAGAAATTCATCCAATTTCGTCCATGAATCGACCCTCAAATCAAAGATTTACCATTTTCAACTTTGGGGCTCAAATCCCAATTTCTACCATCCAAATCGGATAAAACTGAAAACACAGAAATTATCAAGGAGAAACATCAAAATAAAGGTTAAGATATTACCCCCTTCGTTGTAGACGNNTTGCTCAAGAACCTCCCAAAATTATCAAGATTGAAATCTTGCTTAGCCTATGCTCTGATACCACTTGATAACAACACGATAGGGGATTCAAGAATTACTAAGAAAAAAACAAGAAAATCAAGAAACGTGCGGAAGCTAAAAAAAAATAAAGAAACAAAAAGACGGAAAATTAAAGATAGATCGAATTCAAGAAAGAGTTTCTTGAATTCAAGAAATTTATTCTTGAAGTTGAATCCTAACAATAACAATTATGCTAACAAAGAACTAATCGCCTTTGGTAGAGAATTAAAAATAAGAGATAGATTGTGAAACCCGCCCCTTTAGAATAACAAGAACAACAATAAGCCTAAATACCTAGAAGTGATCTAAGATTTCGAAAGAGTTTAATCTTACCACCTTAAGTTGAGTCTTGAAGGTGGAAGAATAAATCCAAGAGTAGCCACACACAAGAGTGCAAGAAAAATCTCAAAATTTTAATTGATAATAGTCTAAGTCTAAAAGCAAAGAAGATACCCCTTTATATAGGGAAGGGGTCACGAAATTCTACCTAAAAAAACAAGGAAATAAAGTCCTAAACTACTTTGGACAACATGTCCAACTACCATAGGAAAAGGTAAAACTCTAGGAAACAAAAACCAAGTCAATCTTGGAAAGTAATTCCAATAATCTTAGGAAAAACAAAACCTTAACTACCTAGGAAAGCATCAAATATGTCCTAACAAACTAGGAAATAAAATAAGGAAACTTGGGGGCCAAGTTGGCTCCTTTGTGAGTTGATTTAGGCGCCTAATTTAGGCCCTCCTTGGCTGGTGCTTGGACCCCAATAAACCTCCTCTTGGACTTGGACTTGGACCATGAAATGAGTGTAGCACTTAGCTAAATCCTCTCCATAATTTTTGAGCTCTTCTTCCACCATTAGCGCCTTCTTGATCTCTCGTTGAAGCCCAACAACCTGTCTTGCTTCTCCTTACCTTGAGACCTTGTGAATGGCTTTCTTGGTGCTTCTACAGCTTTATCCTTGTCCATGAAGCTATCAGACCCCTTGTCACTACTTCTGCGAGGTTAGGCGAGATACTTACTAGGTACATATTTCTATGAACTCATGCTGCACTTCTGTGCTTGATTGTACAGGCTTTGAGGCAGGTGCATCTGGCCATCAGTCCGGCGCGTAGAGTGGACTCTTCAGCTTGAGACTTTCCAGTGAGCTGCCATTTTGAGCCGTTCTGCAGTAGTTGGTGTCTTTCTTTTGACTTTATGTTTCTGTCTATTCCTTTTCCATACAGTAGGATAGTATGGTTATGTATATTCTACTAGATTGCCACACACTTGTGACACCAGGTCTTGGCACACACATTAGTAGACTTATGATGTTTTGGCTTGTCTTCATGATTGAGATTCACATTTATTACTTCCATTTAAATAAGCTTAAATTTTTAAACTATAAATTTCTTAATCTATAATGGAAGTTATCACGTACTAACTACACAAATGAGAATTTACTATTTGATTAGTGTTGGCTTGCCTAACAACGGTGTTGGGCGCCATCATGACCTAATATGGAATTTGGGTCGTGACATCTGAGACCCGTGAACAGAAGATATAATAATAAGACACATGGGGAATCAAGAACATAGGAACCCCTAGTG